TGGTAGACTTGAACAGACTTTAGATTTGTCCTGCTCATTAATGCTGATGATAATTCTGATGTTTAATTATTATGTTTGAGACGTATGCATACAATCTGTAATTGTCTGTTTAAAATCTGTCGCTGATGTTATTTTCGTGAATACAGAAGACTGGGTAAGTATTTTTGCATTTCGGCGGGTTTTGGATACTTTTGGGGCTGGAATCAGTCAGCTACATCTGGCAACACTGATTGCGCTTTCGGTTTCATTTCCACTACTAAAAGCAGTTCACTTCCCGCGAGGCTCCCAAATGATCACTCTGTACCACAAACTGAAATGTTATTTACAACATTATTAAAGTTACCTGTAATTCACAACCTAGGTTCTGTTCACTAAAGTAGGCTTCATTCAGAGGCGCGCGACCACCCTCTCTCTGGTAACAGCTGACGGTCAGCTCATGTCACGTGAGATTTTGCGGTCATAAATACATCCCATGAAGACAGAAGTGTCATTTTTGAGGTGAATTATATCTTTAAAATACAGTATGTGACTCCTTCAACATCATGTGGAGGTGTCCTAGTTGCTGAACAACGTATGTAAAACAATGTAAAGACTTGTGCAGCCACTTTCGCTTCTCTCCTGAACTTGAAAATATGATTGACAGAATCGTAGAAATGCTGGATCAAGATTGTCTAGGGGGTTGAATCAAGAACGCAATCTTTTTACGATTAATTGTGCAGCACAGTAGGACTATTGACCTGTACCTCTTTGTAAGTTTACACACTTCATACTATAGACTACAGCTCTGGTGTGTTATAAATTGCATGTTTTAAATGACAGCGAGACCTGCTACATTTAGTTTTTATTGTACAAAATACATTATAACCCAGTACACAGTAAAATAATATTTTTTAAATGGCTTGCCTATTGGCGACGTATTACTGTTTAGCTTATTTTTTAATAAACGAAAGATGCAATAAATTTTTTATTTTGGTTTTTCATTTTATTAGAATTAATTAGGGGTGTAACGATACACTCAACTCACGATACAATATGTATCACGATATAATGTTCACGATTCGATATGTATCACGATATTAGGAATCAAAATTGAAAATTAAACTGAAATGCAAATTTAATTTTTTTTTAAATTTAATTACCAACTAAACTATTTTTTATGTATTTCTTTTGTTTCAACTTGTTAAACTGAACCTTCTTTAAGAAAATAAATGAAACAGGACTGTCTCTGGAAAAGAAAACAATTTAAAAACTTCTTATAAAATATTATTGAAATGATTCAATTCAATTGAATTTAACAGTAAGAGCTTAAGGCTTTGCTTGGTCACTTGCGTTTTTTGTGAGTGCAATCCACATTTCCAGGTAATCAGCAGTTCTAGAAGATAATCCTGAACTTATGTGTATCTGTCTGAGAGGTTTTTATGGATGGCTGTCTTCATGTTGGGCATGATGAGTGACAGGGTGGCCGTCTTTTCATTACACAGGACAGTCGTGACTCTTTTCAGCAGTTTAGGCAGGTTTACTATTTCTTCGGCGTCGCTGATGTCGGCGCTATCAAGTGTATTATGTTGACGTGCATTTTTGTGTACCTCTGTACTCAAAAGGGTTAATGCTCGTCGTATTCATAACTCTAAAATGCGATATATTTGTGTCAATAATGTGCACGCTTTCGGTTTCATTTCTACTGCTAAGTGCTGTTCATACTTCCCACGCGGCTCCTGAAAGATCACTCTGTTCCACAAACTGAATGTTGTTTACTACTTTATTAGTCACAACCTGCAGGTTCTGTTTACTGAAGCAGACGCGCGCGCGTCTATCATAGTCCGCCCTCTGTAGTAACAGCTCACGGTCAGCTCACGTCATGTGTGATTTTGCGGCGGCCAATACATCATTATATGAAGACAGAATGATATTTTAGGGTGAATTGTACCTTATAAATACAGTATGTGACTCTTTCAACACCATTAGGAGGTATCCATGTCGCTGTGCACAGTATGTAAATCACTGTGAAGACTTTAAAACTTAGGCTATGTTTGACCCAGTATGCGTGTCAAAAAGCGGACGAGGCTAAAGCAATGACTGTACAACCGAAATGTTGCCAGACGTCTGATTTTGAGAGGATGGGCCATCCTCTATTTCAGCTCCACTCATCTTGGTCTGCTAACATTACTGCTGCTGCAATCTGAACTCACGTGCGACAGCAGGTGGAAAGTAGCTCACGTGCAAACAGCTCAACTAATAAGAGAAAATGGACGTCATATCGTAATCAAATCGTCATAACGCCACGATGCATATTGTGACATTTTTGCATCGCAATAAATCGTACAACGATAAATCGTTACAGCCCTAGAATTAATATAATTATTAAGCGACAACTTCTCTCAGTAATGATTAAATCACACTGAATTGAGCTAAACTGAACTGTACTGAACTTAAACACTAAAAACTGAACTACACTGTTCCAGTTACTATGACCATTTATGAGAAGCTTGACACAATCTACATTGTAAAAGCGCTATACAAATAAAGCTGAATTGAATTAAATTGAATATAACATGGGCTCTGATTGCGTTTTTACAGATATCCTACAGATTAGGCTTGGGCGGTATCCAAATTTTGATACCGTCAAACCTCCTCCCTATTTTACCCCGGTATCCGGTATTACCATGCGTAATAATAAAAAAAATGACATAAGGCTCAGACAGCTTCACCAAACAGTTGGCTTAAGCCTAAACCATTCAGAAACTGAATACCGCATGTGTAACCTTAAAAATCTGTGCGGGACGCTCTCTCATACACACACACACACACACCAGAGCATGTGAGCGGAGCGGAGAGCCTATCAGAAGATTCCCTTCGCTCGCTCATCCACTCAGAACCGCTCGCTCTAGAATGACCTTTCATGGTTGTTATGCCAACTTGAGTTTAAGATCTGAAAGTTAAAGTTAGCAAAGATTCGTTCTGGAATCGAAAACGGAATCTATATATCTATATCTGCGTGGATCAGCTAAAATGTCACAGGGGCTTCATACTAATAATCCACCCGCCCGCACATATAATTTTATCTTATATAGGCCTAGCTATATATCTGCACCAGATCATCACCTTAATATTTATAATTCTTTGTTTTAAGCATGATGATAGATCAGTGTGAATCATTTGTTATTACCAGCAGCCAGTAATTAATAGCAGTCAGTAAGCTAATCTGTGCATCCCTTGCCAGAGACCACAAGGAAGGCATATCAAGGCAGCACAGGTCCACGCATGCATCCATGTAACATTCAGTGGTATTTTTTGCTGTCCTTATGAATGCAAGAACTTAAATTGCTTGTCTGGCTTTTACTTAACCGGTCTTTCGCGATTTATGTGAACAAAAAGTGTCGCATATAATTTTATTTAGTGTCTGACACATTAGGTATTGTATTTTAAAATACTGGTTTACTTTAACATATGAACAGCAGCATATAGCATATTAACAACAGAAACTGTTTAAGCACCAGTGTTTCCAACAGCATAGAAAAAATATAAATAAAAAGAATAAAATAAATAGGCCTGCCCTAATATGTTTATGGCAGCTTCCGCGGTACAGCAGCGGGAATGCAGACCTCTTGTTCACATTTATCATGTCTCCCTTCTCGTTCGTTCGAAACCAGAAATTTTGAGTTCTTTTTAGAGAACAGGTCACTTGGTGCTCGTCTGCGTGACCCGCCATACCTCACCTTTCTCTTTGCTCCATATATTTTCCATTTAATTCAAATAAATATTTAATAAAAAAGGAATACTTAAAAAAAAAAATTATTAAAAATGTGGGGACGGTGTCACGGTGGAAAAGTGATGTCACCAGTGTTACGTCCTAAAATCATTTATCGTGGCAAGCCTAAGTCATACAAGTGGGATTTTCACATCGATCACATCCATTAAAGAGAGATGTCACATCCATAACAACACCTTTTCCTCATAAAGGCAAAATTATTAAATAAAATAAAATCAATCATGGTTGTTCTGCAGTCAGCCTACTCCTTTTGATTAGCATCGTTTCCTTGGGTCGGGCAGGTTAATTTACAGATTTTCTACAAATTATGTGGTATTCTGTAAACTCACAGACTTTTTTTATTACATCCATAACGCCTTTTTATTTCCCTAATTTAACGTACAAAACATGTTTACAGATTGATATTCTTCTGCTTCCACAACTCTGTGGTTAGTTGTTCTGGAAAATAAACAGATGTTTGAATATAATATAATTGTGAATTTATGTTTTGAGTTTTTACTGCAAATATCACACCCATAACGCTGGAATTGCTCGTGTGTGTGTCTATGTATATGTATATATGTGTATATATATATATATATATATATATATACACATAGTAAATTACGAATGTTGGATATAAACTAGTGGATTAAACATATAAGAGATGTGGTTAATTGGTAACCAACTAGAAGTAGAAATGCGCCCCAAAACATTAGCTAAATGTTTATAAATATGTATTTAATGTAATTAATATGGACAAGTATCAAAGTTCCGCATAATACTTAACGTTATTATAGTTACGATAAAAAACACGTCGTCAGCTTTTACATATTTCACTAATCTTGCTATTTCGACAGCTTAGATTCACGCTGACGTTTTGTTGAAGAACAAAAACATCTTTACTTTGGTACAGTGGGTTCAGAACACAGCGTGCGTCCCTGCGCAAGCATGTAAATGCATGGAAACCCCATATGATGATATAAATCGATTGAGTCAACCACTAAATACATTGTAAATCACCAACCACATTTACAGTTACTAACAGTATAGCGTACATTTGCCGATACAATGTAAAGCTAAAATGACTATAATGTAACTAACTATTAAATGTAAATACTTAGCGTAATCGAAAGTAACGTAAAACAGAACAGATAATGTCCGATCCGCTAAACAACACGTATTGGAGTACAATTATTCAGATTAGAACAAATCTTAATGAAGGATTAATCGAAATTTTTTAAAATGTTACCTTCTGTCGCAGTTTTGGCATTAGATGACATTATGCAGCGTAGATTGGTGCGTAGTTTCACAAAATGGCGATTCTCTGGCTACCGGAAAAGAAACAGTCACGTGATATTTACAGATAAGCCCTAAGAGGAAAAGGGCGTTGTTTTATAAAATTCCTCAAAAAAACTGAAGAACAGTACAGAAGAACACCTTTTTTCTCAAAAATGTATTCGCCTTATTTGATATTTAATTATGTGGTTTAAATACTGCATTTGTAATGACATTTTAAGCACCATTTCCCGCTGGATTAGCTTGTCATAACCACACTTTTTGATGTACCAAAACATTTCCTAGAATAAAGAAATTCGAAAAACATTCATTTTAACTTTCTAAATCTTTAGGAAATGTTTATTATTAAATTACTAATACTTTTTTTTTAAATACATGTTTATTACGTAATGCTTATTTATTATTTTTAGGAATCTGTTAGCTAATACTAAAAACTGTAGCCTATTGTCATTTATTAGGCAAAGAACAAACTGGCCAGCACCCCTGTCACTTTCCTTTGTCATAATAATAAATAATAATAATAAAAAAGAAAACGTTGCATCTTTTGAAAACATTATGTGGGTCTTCGAAAGGGCAGCTGTTTGGTGTAAAAGGTAAGTTATAAATAAACAGTGCTTCAAGTAAAAAAATTAAGAGACATTGTCATGAACATTAATTGTGCATTCATTCTACCATTTTTCAGAAGGCTAAACTTTAAAAGGTATTTTTAAAATGTTTACAATAGACATTAGAGAACAATGCTGTAATTTACAGTAAACGCTATTGTTTTTAAACCTTACAAAATGCTACATTATTTATTACAGTTTTCATATCATTTTAACATAGTTACAACATTATGCTGGAACATTCATTAATAGTATTGTAAATTCTAGATGTAAACCTTATAAAAGAGATAATTTTAACACAGTATATTTTTTTAATTATTATTAAAGAATGCAAATATACAACCACAATCAGGAGATCGATATAAGAGACATACAAAGGAGAAAAATACAAATACAACTGCAGAAAGAGAGAAAAAAAGAGATTAACAAAATAAAGGAATGGGTGAATAAATTACAATTGTATAAAAGTGTATGAAATTAAATTAAGAGCATTGGGAAAGCGTTCTACCTCAAATCAGAGTCCGTGGACAACAGTTCTTTATATAGAACCAGGAATCTGACACATTTTTTGTTTTTACATATACGGAAAGATTTGAGCAGTGAGTCAACTTCAATCAGAAAATGTCGAAAAGTAGGGACCGAAGCCATGCATTTTTGCTTATGTATAAAAAAATTTCCAAACAAGATAAAAAAGTTGAAGATAAATTCTTTAGATTTATGTGAAGATTCTGAGTAATAACAAATAATTTATTTTAAACTAAAAGATTGTGCAAAGGTAGGAGGGGTGTTTAAATAACGATAGAGGTCAAACCTAAATTTCTGAACAAATTCACACGTACAAAATAAATGTATCAAAGTTTCATCATCCTTACCACAAAATGTACAACTACTCGGAATATCAACATATTTGGAAGCAAATGAGTTAGCCGGATATATTTTCTGCAATATTTTAAAGTGGATTTCTTTAGTTTTGTTAGGAAGGAAGTATTTATGAGGCAATAACCAAGCTTTTCTCAAATCTATATTATTAATTATTGCAGCCCAATGAAATTTGCCTCGCGGAACAATACGATTTCTTTGCTGAAGAATTAGATGAATATGCTTATTATTGCATTTCTTATCATGAAAGTCAATGCCTTCCAGTACTAATGCTGATTCTTTCATATGTTTTGTATTGTATTGTATATGACTTTTGACCAGATGCATTAATCCTGTAGGGATAGCTCTAAGAACAGTATTATATTCTCTAAAGGGAATAGGAAAGTCATGAAGTCATAAAGCGCTCATAAGACAGTAAATTACCAAAATCATCAAATAAAGAAAGTAGATAAATTTCTCTATCAAACCAGTTAGGATAAAAAAGAGATTTATTTCTAACAGTTAAATCTTTATTATTCCACAAGATAGTTTTTTGGGGTGAGAAGTTGTGAAGGTAACTTCCATGCAAGAAGAGCCTGCTGATGAAAGCTGGCTAATTTAACCAGAAGTTTACTTTGCAAGAAATTACATTTTAAAATAAAGGAGAGACCACCGATTTTATTAAACATATAATTCGGAATGAAAAATCATATAGAATTTGGGTTTAATAAACATCTTTTTAGCCAATTTATTCTAAATGCATTGACAGATCTAAATAAGTTTATGGCTTTAAGTCCCCCCTCACTTCTACATTGTGATATCACATCATTTTTTAATTTGTGGGGCCTATTTTTCCATATAAAGTTAAAGAGAATTTTATTAATGCTTTTAATAGTACCATCATTTGTATACAAGGAAAGTGAAGGGTAGACAAAGCGAGAAAGACCTTCCACTTTTGAGAGAAGAACCCTCCCATACAGAGATATATCTCTTTGTAACCAAAGATTAAAAATATTTTGTGTTGTCTTTAATCTACTACTAAAATTAAGATGTTGCCTGGCTATTAAATTTTGTGATATGTAAATGCCTAGATACTTTACTGAGTCTTTAACTGGAATACCTTCAATTATTTTGTCATCACATTTATGCAATGACATTATTTGACATTTAGATAAGTTAAGTTTTAGTCCAGATGCACATGAAAAAAGTTTAACTATCTGAGTGGCTTTAAAAACTTGATTTTTATCTCTTAAAAAAAGCGTGGTGTCGTGTCATCTGCTAGTTGAGAGATTTTGATCTCCCTGTTAAAAATGGAAAGACCTTTTAAATCCAGGTTATGCATAATACTCAAAGATAATAATTCAGTAACCAAAATAAATAAAAGGAGGGAGATTGGACATCCCTGCCTGACACCGCGTTTTATAGAAAATCTTTGTGAGGTGAACATATTAATTATGACGGAACTGGTGATCCCTGTATAAAACATTTCAAATAAAAAAAGAGGAACCAAAACCAAACTGTTTGAGAGACTGCAGAAGAAACTCATGCTCAAAGGTGTCAAAGGCCTTATAGAAGTCCAGAAAAAGTAAAATAGCTTAAGAATTTACAAAGTCAGCATAATTCACCAAATCTAAAATAAGTCTGTTATTACTAATGTGCCTACCTTTTAGAAAACCTGACTGTGTTTCTCCTATAATATTATTGATCTTAACTTTTAATCTGTTATCGAAAACCAAGGCCAATATTTTATAATCCACTGTAAGAAGCGTAATAGGCCTCCAATTATCTATTAACAGAGAGTCTTTCTCGGATTTTGGAATTAGAGAAATAATGCCCTGTTTCATCGATGAAGTCATTTCTCTCTGACTAATGCATTCTTGATACATGCAGAGCAAAGGGGACTGTATTAGGTCCCAGAAATTAATATAAAATTCAACCGAAAAACCATCAACGCCAGGGGACTTGTTTTTCTTCATGGAGAATAAAGCAAATTTAATTTCCCCCAGTGTCAAGGTGGCATCGCAAATATCTTAAAAATCATTATCAATAATGGAAATGTGATTTTTGATTGTTTTAAAGAAGTTTTCACAACTATCTATATTAAATTCAGAAGTATAAAGATTACTATAGAAAGTAGAAACAAAAGTAGAAATTATTTTTGGATCTGTACATCTGGCATCATCAATATTGAGTGCTGTTAATGAATTACTCCGGCAGTTTCTCTTCTCCAAAGCAAAAAAAATAATTGGAGTTAGTCTCTCCTTCCTCAAGCCATTTTGCTCTAGATCTAACAAACACCCCTTTAGCCAAGTCCAAATAAGCCTGATTAATTTGAATATTTAATTACCTTAAATGCAATTCTTCCTCTGGAGTTAGTATTTTTAGCAATAAAGTATTCATTTCATTCAAGAGCTGACATATTTTAATGTTTTTAGATGCTTTCAGCTCTATGCTTCTTCGAATAGCAATCTGTCTGGCTTTAAATTTAAAAAATTCCCATTTTGTTTTATAACTATCAACAGATTTTTTGGAAAATATACCTGAAAATAAATCTTTAATATTATCATTAAAAGAATTATCCTTTAAAAAGGGAATTATTAAATTTCCAATACCCACGCAAACTTGGGAGTTCATTGGAATTGCCAGACATTTTTAATATAATTTGTTTATGATCTGAAAGGGGAGCAAATGAGTGAGAAATATCATTTACAAATTGAAGAGCTGAGGAGGAGAGCAGAAAAAGATAAATTCTTGACCGGTAGGATCTATTTTTATTAGACCAGGTGAAGTCACATAAATTAGGGTGAAAAAAACGCCAGGCATCTGTTAGGAAAAATTATGAACATGAAGCTGAAATATTAGTATTTAAATGAAGACCATCATTGTTCCTGGGAGGAAATCTATCCAAAGTGTTATCAACACACTCATTAAAACCGCCACCTAGAACGATAATAGAATCAGGGTATTTAACAATTGTTTCGTTTAGTTCCAAAGTTATTTGAGAAAATAAAGATTTATTATCTGATCTGGAATTACAACCGTAAATATTACAAATAATAAAGTTTGAGTTATCCTGTTTAAGTGATAAAATAATCCATCTCCCATCATCAGCTGGTTTTGTCCCAAGAATTTGACCTTTAAATTAGTGAAATAACATTAAAACTCCAGCAGAATGGTTAGAGCCATGACTACAAATGATAGTATTGCCCCACTGATTTTTCTAAAATTTAACATCCATTTCACACGAATGTGTTTGCTGAAGCAGAACTATATCAGACTCACTTCTCTTACAAAACAAAAAAACAGCTTTCCTTTTTACAGCGTCACGTAAACCCCTTACATTTAAAGACATAACAGAAAATGAATCAAACTTATATTCCATTAAATATTAAGAAAAAGTATACCTCTTAGATTTAGATCGAAAAACTCGACTGAGATAGGAACAACATATAACCGAGAACAATTCTTAAACGTCAACGTAGGTTAATCGCACCATTGCACATTGCTGTATTTATATAAGAAAAAATGAACTGAATATCAATTTTAAGGATAGCACATCATT